AGCAAGTTGCTGCACCCTAAAATAGATATACACAAATAAACTATAGCAACCCTACTTAGTTATGACTTATGAGTGAGAGACATTACGTAAACCTAATGGTTTATTTTAATTAAATTTTGTAGATTATTGACTTATTGGTCAGATGTTTTTGAAGTGTTTATAATGTGTATGTCATGGATATCATCAATAATAAGCAACTATTATTAGTCCAATTCGTTAGGTGTATACATAGTTTTAATTTATTAAATGCTACTTAAGAGTGATATATATTTATCAAAAAACATCTCCTTTTAAAAAATGTAACTTAAAAGTATTTATTGACTAATGCACAATAATTCTGTTACTCCTGTGAAGACTAATACAAATAGAGATATATATCATTTTCTTTTTCTACGTGCAATTGTACCTTTCTGTCTCACTCATATTTCGTTACGAGCCATATTTAAGAAGATAGAAAATATAATTTTATGAAAGTAGAAAGTAAGAAAGTAGTGTAAATTAATATATCGTATCATTACATAGTATAAAACAAAGTCGCTTTCTGTCTCCGTATCCCTATGTATGCTTAAATCTTTAAAACTATGCAACATATGTTGATGCGGTTTTTTTTTGTACAAGACCACGCGGGCGAAACCTCTGGTGAAAAGCTAGTGTTATAATTTATTAAAAATACAATTAAAAGAACCCACCTGCGTGAAAAACAAAAAAAAATAACATCATACATAATATGCAGTCGGGGGCATGAAATTAAATAAGAAGTCAAATCATTCTCTCTTTGTGCATGCCATTTCAATTAGTTGTTTTAGTTAAAATATTAAAAATAATGGCATCGCACAGCCACCTTATTTGATTTTTTAACGGTATCTATCTAAGAATACTTGGGTTTCTAAGACAAATCTAAAAATACGTCAAAAATCTAAAACCGTTCAGCGATTCTGAAGATATGAATGAAGAATATTACATATAAGATAATATTATAATATTATAAGATACGTGCAAAAAACATAACCCTTCCTTTGCAGTCGGCATTGCATAGCATTAAACAACTCAAGTATAAACACATGCAGCATATAAAATTAAATATACAAAAGACCTTAGACCTTTAAAGATATAATAGCCTCTTCAAGACTCACAATTATAACATGCTTGTGACCTATTTAAATCGACGACTATTACCGTGTTTGATTACAGTTCTTCTTGGATCTTTCGAAGTATGCAAATATGAAACTCAAATAGGGAAGTAAGCTTAGAAGATAATTCTTTAAGAAAGCCAATGGGGAACAACGTTTATCTCCATTTAGCAAATAAACGAACATTTCTCGGCACGAGTTAACAGACACAAAAATAAATGAAGTTAACGGAGTGGCAAACGTTTGAAAGCTTTCTGAAGCTGCAGGTGACGTCTCAGTTAACGGAAAGGGGCCTCTGACACGCCAACGACAACTGGTGGACTTAACAATGCACTCAATTGCTATGTTGCAGCTAAAACATTGTAAGAAGCTTAATATACAAATAGAAATCTTTTTATTTTTGGTTTGGATTGGTTTGGCGATCTAAGAGGTAGATAGTTAATTTAATTTTCGAAATAAACTCAAGAAGTTCAAAGAATATCATCTTTTATTCAACAAAAAACTTCAAGATACGAATAGAAGCAGAGTTCCTTCATCGTTACATGCCACATCGTTACATGGTGTAACACTGACTTGCATATTTTTCTTCTACCTATATCCCATCGTGGTTGTATACAGTTAAAATCGACACAAAAGGTAGTAGATTTCGAATATTGAATATTTCAACTACGAATTTGAAAGTCGAAAAGGCTTCTTATGCGGTTTCATTTAGTAATATTACTTATTTAGTTTAGCAAATTATCTTTCCAACTCGATTGACATATTTCATTGCTAAATGGATAATGTTAACTTCTTTAATTATGCAGTTCTGTCATGCTATAATAATAATTTCAAATTTAAAAAACATGACTGCCAAAATTTTATGAATGAAAACGAAAAATAAAATAAATAAATCTGGGGACCGGAACTTAAGAACCTAAGAAAGATGTAACCTAAGAGACCCAGGTCATATTTTTTTAAACGGCGATATATATCCACCAAATTGGAAATTCAAAAAATTAAATAGCCAGCTAAAGATACCTTAATTATTAATATCCGTTAACTCTTTCAAAATTTATGGTGGAATAAAGAACCCTAAACAATTGTGTTTGTATGTGTGTTTCTCACTCCTTTTCTGGGCAGTTAACCTGCATTTGATTAAACCTCTAATTTTATGACAGTTCTCTGTTCGACACTGTATTATTTTATAAATTAGCAAAACTGATGCATCGGAAGCATCAACGTGATGATTACACTTCTAACGTCCTGAAGAAAAGCTAGATAAAATTAATAATTGTAACAAAAAAATATTTTATTTACTTTATAAATACCCAAGCATAAGGTATATTGTTATGTTTCATATATCTCTTTCACACTAATATATGAAACAATATGCAACAATCAGCGTAATCTCCATGAATCTTGGCGTCCTATGCCAAAACACTGAAACTTGGCGCACTAGGCAAAGCACTAATAAGACGCCCATAAAAAACCATTAAAGAGTGTATTTTGCAATGTACGACAGTAACAACAACAAACTACACGACACGACACATTAGGGTGTTTCCACCCTAACATCTATAGACAATTATAAATTGAAATCTAATTTACAACTAAACAGCCTTTCATACTATTTACAATGTAAATTTTTTTCTGATTAAAGACAATATATTTCAGATTTAATTTTACCGATTATTATTATGTTATTTTTTTAATAATGATATAGTATCGGTAACAGTAGTAATATAAGGTAATTAGGGTCAATGGTAATAAGGCTCTCCTCTGAAATTTCAGGCTAATACACCTCTATTCCTGATCAACCTTTATTTACAGATTCAGAACACCGATAGATATACAATGTTATGCACGTTTACTCCTTTATGAACAGGAATATAATTGTATTTTTGCTTGAAAATTTCAAAGCTAGCTCTTATTACAACGCGGGTGTTAATTGCCGTAAGTATCTCACTACGCAAAATAAAATGGTTCAAATTTCAAAAGTATTTCCTTGGTAACAGAAAGGCTATCATTTTTAAAGCACCAATCCATCAATCAATCAATCTTCGGACACGCACATACTCTCTAATAATTTCTACTTTGTTGATATCAATTAACGCACGATCCATCAAATCTCTGGCGATGTGTACCAAAACGTAATTGCTTTTCTTTTTCTCTTTGCTCCGTATATTTTCAGTGGAATATTACTTCCTAAGCATTCTACTACCTGGAATGCTTAGGAAGTACTTTCTCCTTAGCTCAATAATTCAATCATCGAAAAACCATGTACATTATCATAAGCAGAGACCGAATTTAATTTGGGGTAAATTGTATTTTTGTGGTACAAAAGGTGAAACGGAATCCTTACAGGATGATTCGTTTTTCTGTCTGTGTGGTCATCAGTCTGTTACTGCAGTAAAACAAAAAAGTTTTATAAACTACAGCGTGACATATCAAATGAAAATCCTTACCACCGGAATTTCAACAAATATATTTTTATTTAGAAATTATTAAAGAAATAAGCGGAAATTGATTATTTTCCCTCTGATCTGAAATAGTTCTTTTTAGATTACAAAGAAACTTATTAGAAGTCTATATTTTTTTCAAATTAATATGATCATGATGGAAATGTATTCACTACTACTTAAACAGCTGATAAGTCTCTTGCACCTATTGTTCTTGTTAGCTAAAAGACAAAACACTTTTTGAACTTTAACTTATTTCAGTAAGGAACATTTCAAAAAGGTCTTATGAGAGCAGATCCTAAAATTTCTTATAGAATAAGAACCTTCGGAATTGAATGGGAAATATTTATTAAGCAATAAATTTTAATAACATTTGAAAATAGTATTTGTGTCCAATGTAAAAAAAATAGAATAAATTTTCCTTTAAAAAGATTTAATTTCTAATATTACTGCATTACATTGGTTATGGTATCTTCAAACGCACGTGCTTTTTCTTTTATAGAGAGAATTATTATGTCGTAACCAAAAATAATTTATGAATAAACACGAACCGCTGTTTTTATGTCATAAAAGTGAAATGTTAAGTGTAAGAAAAACGTATGGTTACAACGCGAAGGCAATACTAAAATGGTCGGAACAGGAAAAAGATACGTCGTAAGTGTGAGCACTTAAAATATAACATGTAGGTGGAAAATTTATAATTTTGGTTCAAAAGAATTTGCAACATAAAATATGTAACGCTTACTTTTATGGATGTTAATTCACTGAAATCCTTTTTATTAAGAAACGATTCTCAAATGGTGTTTATGATAGGTATTTTTTTAAATCTTTACTCTCGTTAAGTAGGCGAATAAAATACTCTAATTAGAGGAAAATACTCGTAATACTAACTGTATGAGTAACTAACGAAGGTTTCCACTATTCGTATGTATTGTTATCGGAAAAATAATAATCATCGTCTACTTCTAAATTACTCCCTACATTATTGTAAAGGAACTGACCGCAACCCATCTTTCAAAAGCATTGCCAAATTAATAGATCCATCCATCATGCAAGTAGCCCCGGCAGCCGCTGACAGTTCCTCACTTCGTCTAGGTTAAGAAACGTGACTTGGCCAAGTGGATCGATACACGCATATAATCGCTTAACCAGCGAACCGGGTCACGCGGTGCTCTCGTGGCTCTCCCTGTCACTCTAGTCAGCTTCTCATATTTTCGTTAGCTCCTCCGCTTGATTGATTAACCGTATTTATTGCTGTGTGTACGTCTGTATTTTATGATATTTGTATCATTCGTCAAAACTATATGATTCTTAATGATAATGTTTTGATTTCATGACATATTTGAAACGAATAACATGCCTGATATCTTCTTCCTTCATCACTAATTAGCATTTGAGAATACCACCAAAACAACACGTGCTATGTGAATCAATGGCGCTGACTCGTGATGACACTCACCTGACACTCGTAACACGTGTGTACGGAGTAGGATTGGTCGCAGTCGTAGCGACTGAGGATGTCGACGAAGTCACAGTGCACGCGCGCAACCATAGCGTCGAGGCTGAGGAGGTCGTGCAGCGTTCGTTCACAGCGCTCGCCACCGGCTAGGACGTCGGCGCGCGCGCTGCGATCGAGCGCGGAGGCGGGTGAGCGCTCGCAGCAGGCGCGCAGCCGCAGCTCGGCGAGGCGACGCGCGCGTGCACCGGCCCCAAGCGCGCACAGGTGCGGCACGTCGCGTCCCGTCAGCGCGTCGGGCGCGCCGCCGCCGCTGCCGCACGCCGCGCCCCCGCACTCACGCACGCCGCCCGCGCCCTCCTCCTCCAGGTCGCACGCGCTCAGCCAGGGGTTGAGGCGCGCGAGCGGACTCACGGCCAAGCCCGCGGCCGCCATCAGCAGCAGCAGCAGCAGCGGCGGCGCTCGCATGGCGGGGGCGGCGCCGCTAGCGGGGGCCGGCCCGCCGGGCGCGGCGCTGCCTCATACCGCATCGCGCATGGCGACCTACTCGCGCGGCCCGGGCCGCGGGGCCGCCGCGCGGGGTGGGCGCGCCGCCATGTCGCTCGCTCGCCGCTCGACTGACTCCCCCCGGGCGCGCATCGATCGCCCCGCGCCCCGCACCCGCCGCTGCGCGCGCCCTCACAGCCTCCGTCGACGTTATGTAACGGTGCGCGCGCATCGTGGAGCCCCGCCCGCCTTTAACATTGCCCTCTAGTGTTAAGCTGAAACTTCCCGCCCGCCTAAATCTACTTGAAGAACCCTAGCATAAACTGATTACACTCGTTTTGGTAAGATGTCGCTTCTAATTTGCTTTCCGTAGCAGGTTTTTCTCCATTCAATGATTGTTTAAAAGCAGATTATTAAATGAGAATGTCATATTACAAATGACAATCCCATTTTTAATTCAACGTACCCTACACATATAGCACAGATATTTAAGGAACTATCATTACAAAGTGTTATGTATGTGGCCACATTATAGATATTTTAAATTGACATTCTGTTTCAATAACAATTAAATAGCCGCCCGGTTTACAGATAGCTACAATATACTTCTTTTTTCTATAGGTATTTCAAGAACTTTTGAGCGTCCATCACTTTTTCCTTACCCGAGTCCTCAGAACGTCTTTTTGCAAATTAAAAAGGTGTCGATTAAAGTATGGTTGTTGTGCCAGTCGGACAACATACACATGTGCCCGATGCGTTACCCATCTTATCTCGTCCGCGCGATGGAGACAACAACGGATTTCGATGGCTGTTGATTCCTGGGCATTCGGGTTTAAAGTCCCTATTTGGATTTTGAACCGGAATGGCTAGTGGTCTCACACGGGGGGCTCAGCTATTAGTAGAGTCTCTAGGTTCAAGGTTCTATTAATGTAGGAATTATAAAAATGTAAATACAAAACAATAATTCGAAAATAAAGAAAAAGAGTATCTAAAAACAAACCAAATCATTTACGAGTGTTTGCAAATACAGGTAATATATAGAAACTAGCTTTTGCCTGCGACTTCGTCCGCGTGGTAAAGTTACTTTTGAGCAGCATTTCTAACGAATATTTATGTACTGATAGATTCAAACTAATACATTTACATCCTCCATCACCTCTTAGTTTATCCCCGTGGGAGTTGAATTTATCAAAATCCTATTTAAGCGGACGTCTTCATCATAGTCGCTCCAATCTTTAATTTCAGTTCAATCAGTCGAAAATGTAAGAAGATTTATACAAACTTTCATCCCCTAATTTATCCCCTTAGATGTGGAATTTAACAAAATTCTTTCATAGGGGATGCAAACGTCATAGTAGCTTTATCCATGCAAAGTCTCAGCCCGATCGATTTAAAATTGACAAAGTTTCATACAAACTTTCATTCCTGATTTTATCCCCTTGGGGGTAGAATTAATCAATATCCTTTCTTAGAGGATGCCTACTTCATAATATCTACCTGTATGCCAAATTTCAGCCCGATCCGTCCAGTGGTTTGGATTGTGCGTTGATAGATCACTATGTCAGATCACCTTTGAATAATATTTATTTAGATGATACATTAATATCAAACTTATTTCGTATTTCGCCACTTGGCATGCAAAATTATTATTTAAATTATAATAAAAAAATGACAATTACAACAAACCGTTAAAAATATTATTATGTTCATATGTCCATTGAAATATATAAAAGAATTAAAGAAATGCAATAAAATGTATCATTCAAATTTGTCATTTAAGAAAAAAACTGTAACAATAAACAGTGTATAAAATATAAATTCAAAAAAGGCATATGAATTTTTTGATTAACATAAAACAGGTTTTTATCTACACCTCCCCGCAATCACAACACTTATGTACCTGTTTATAAACACACTATATACAAAATATCATATAGAAAATACCTAAACACTAACGTCCTATCAACTAATTAACCTAACTATACAAGCACAAAACAAATCACTCTATATTAAAACACGAAACTCATCCTTAGTTAGTTAGGCACTTATAGTGTCTCAGCTTAGGTAGTGGCTTTGTAAGAATATCGGCTGTTTGATGAGCTGCTGACACATTGACTTGTTTAGTGGATATAGACTTGTGAACGAAATGATGTCTAATGTCGATGCGCTTCGTGCGGGCATGACGGGTATTGTTTTTTGTTAATGTTGTTGTTTATAGGTAATATTTGGCAATTTGATTGTTACAATTAATGGTGATGGGTGACAAAAGACATCTTTGTCACAGAGTAATGAGCGAACGTAGATGGCTTTCTTACAAGCTTTACTAAGAGCTGTGTAGTCAGCTTCTGTCGTATATGTTGACACGGGTCTCTGCTTACAGGATCCCCATGACACTGATGAGCCACTCATTTGGAAGATATATCCTGTATAGAATCGTCTTCTGTTGTAGGTCAATTTTCTATTTTTTGTGGCCTTCAGGTACCGAAGAACGAACGCGTTTTGCAGCTCTGCAACATACATTACGAGGTGGTACTCAAATGTTTCACCCCGTAATGTACGTTGAATTGGCTCAATGAAGAGACAATATGAGCGATATCCGACCATGTGCCGATGGAAATGTACATTAGACTTCCAATGAGCTGCTGGTATGGAAGGTCAGGTTTTTCTTCTGCGGAGTCAGGTAACATAAGTTTCGTACCAGCCTCCATAAGAGTCAACACTGGGATGGCATCTGTCATTCTAAACTTCTCAATGACTTGTTCAATGTGCTTTGTCTCATCGAGTGAAAGTTTTCTGTCATGACGTGTGCAAGACAGTCTTTCAGGAGGCCTAAGTCCTTAATTACAAAGGACTTTTGTCGTACATCTTTAAACTCTTGTTTCATCTTTGCAACGACGCAGAAGATGAAAAAATTGTCCACGAATGCTGCCTTGCATCATTGTGTTTGTACTAGATGCAGTGTACGTATTCCTAACGTTTTAATCGAAGTCTATCCATTACTTCGTAGATTTTTATGTTCCTCTTTCTTGGAGCTTGTTCAAGTTCATAAAGTGACTTTTCAAGAATGCTTATTATTGGTAAAGCCTTCTGGCTGTTCCATATAAATTTCTTCGTCTAGGTCGCCATTTAGAAAGGCTGTTTCCATGTCTAGGTGGTCAATGTTCAAGTCAAGTTTATCAGAGAAGGTGAACACAAGACCTATAGAATGGAGGTCTCGCCACTGGCGAAAACGTTTCGCCGTAGTCCACACCATATACTTGTGTAAAACCCTTAGCGACTAATCTAGCCTTATATTTTACAATGTCTCCGTTTCTCTTAACTTTATATACCCAGTTACATCTAATAAATTTTCGATTTACATGTCTATTTACAAGTGTTCACGTTCCATGCTTCTGCAATAAATCATGCTCTGACTGCATAGCTTTTTCCTATTTTAGGTTATGGCTATCTTTCAGAGCTTCTTTGTATGTATGAGGCTCAAAATTGATGTTCGTGAGATTCAGATTCTACGAGTATCTCTCCAAAGCACGTCAATCATGAAGAGGCTACCTACGAGATGTATTAGAAGGGGCAAGTTGATCCTGAGCATCTACGAACACTTCAGGTTACAGTTGAGGGACGGTAGGGTCTGGAGTAGAAAATTCGGGAGTGAGAGTGGATTTGCATGGTATGCTATCTTGAATAGGCTCCGAAGTATGTATAGGTGGTAAACATTGAGAGGTCGGTGTATGTACTTCCAGAATATCAGGTTCTGGTTGCAAAATATCTCAATTCTAAATTCCTTCACCAGCTGAAGGTGGTATTGATTATTGTTCAACGGAGACGACATCTCTGACTACGATGATGCCTTTCAGATTCTGTGGATGGATTAGTCGGTAACCTTTTGTATCCTGTGAATATCCGACAAGGATTGTGCCTTGCAGTTGGGTTTCTTTCTCTGTTCTTTGGGTATGATGACGTTTCGAGATAGATAGCTGTAGAAACAGCTTCACAGCTTCTCCCCAATATACTCGTGATAAGCCAAAATCTTGGAGCATAAATCTTGCTTTTTCGGCAACTGTTAGGTTGACTCGTTCTGATACTTCATTGCTGTATATGGGACAGCACTTTGGTGTATGACCCCATTTTCTTTCGAATAATTTCTCGATTAACGAACTTAGTTCCAAGCGTAAAATTTTAATTTTAAGGCTGGTTTGATTCTCAACAAGGTTATTCAATTCGACAAACTTATTGAAAACTTCACTTACACTTACTTACAATGTCTTACGCCTTTGTCTTACGCCTCTTAATGTCTAAGTCATCTGTGAATGTAAGTAAATAAAGTGCTCCTCCCCATGAGTGGGTACTCATCGGTCCATATCGTAATATATATATAAGTCTTTTAATATGTATATAAGGTTTTGTTTAAATCATTAAGATAAATTTTCTGACATGTCATGTACGTATAAGGGATGTAGGTTTCTGCCAACTTTCGATATCGATAGAATTGAAATATAATTTTGTACTTGTTGCTGGTGGTAATATAGGGTACAAAATATATACTCCTCCCATGTCTTACAGGTTTTCTGCAGACATCAATATGTCAGACAGGGTGACGATTGGCGGCATGCACAGTATACAAGGATATGTTCTTTACTTTAAGAAGAATCTTCTTTCCGTGAAGGATACGCCCACTCAGTTTATATGCTATACCTAAATATATATAAATAAAGAGTTGTTTTATGTATTGTAAATAAAACACGTATATAATTATTATTTTATTAATAATTATTACAATAAAAGTATATATTTTGAGGCGTTTGGTCCACTCTGCCGGTAAACCCCGCAAGGGATATAGCGTGAAAAAATAGATAGATATATTGCGTGGGCAAGTTTTAAGGTGTTAAAATAATAGTATATTGATGCATGCATATAAGTTTATAGTTGACTTTCTGTAATGACCCTATTGACGAAGATCCCTTGTACAGTACGACAAGGAACGGATTCCTGTTTGATTTGAAAAGTCGGACGCATTCATAAAGCCCCGAATACAATCTATATAAAAAATATGAATCCATTCCGTATGAAAAGTCTTTTTTTTTCCATTTGGAGGTAAGTGGTAAGACTTCTTTTGCAATAGGTATAAATAAGAAGATAGAAATATCAAAAAAAATTATAATAATGACTACATATAAAATGTAGTGAATGCTATTATTATTATCCCTAAAAATTGATTAAATCTATTATTTTACGTTAATGGTATTTCTGGTTATTGAGCACGAGTTACGTAAATGGTAGCGTTCGTACTGAATTAATATTTTAAATGTTAGGTATAAAGTGCTTACTTGCATAAATATAATTATTGCTGTTCGTTGCATACTGCACCGAACACCGTATAATAATTCATTTTGGTGCACTTTTGGCACTCGGCCCGCACTTGGTTGCTTTTGATCGATAGTCGATAAAAATGTACATCACTTAGAAGGGCTGGTGATGATGACGATGATGACTTAGAATTTTTGGATTATTCCGTTTATCCACCCTGAAAGGGGTGGATAACAGGAATCCGCATCATAATTTTACTTCCGATTTTCTCCCCCGCCTGTGTACAATAATTTAAAAAAACGTATAAACCCAGCCCAAGATACCTAACATTAAATGATTTATTTTGTTTAATGAAAATGTGATTTTTATAAATACACGATAGAAGCTTTTGTCTAGTAGACAATTTTATTCAAAAGTGATTTCCATCTATCCACCCTGAACGGGGTGTATAACACGCGTTATAGATGAACACGCGTTTCCGAGTTGATACCTTAGGGTGGCTGTTTCAGGGTATAGGATGTAGGAGGTCTTAACGATATAGTCTAAATAACGATTCTAAATAATTTCGAATCAGATACACGACGGTTTGATAACTATGACTCTCTTTTTCAAGCATATGACGTTTTCTTTTTGTGAAAACGAGAAAAACTATGTTTGTGAGTTTTGCTTTAATGTACTCCATATTGTAGATATTTCATGTGAGAGTCTTTATGATTTGAGGCTGTCGCGATGACTGAGCCTGACACTTGACATCCCCCTTTCAAAAGGAAAATTGAAGAAAATAAAGGATTTCATCAATGATGTTGATGTTGAAGGATTTCATCGCCATCTTTCATTCTTTTCAATATTCATTTTACATGTAGAAATCAATTTATTTTAATTTGATCACTTGAAATTGTGTGAAACGCGCAGATAGGCCATTAATAAAAGAAATAAAACAACGAGCCATTTCTTAACTAAATTACTCACCGAAAGTAAATTAAAAGATAGTTCAGGAACAAATAAACGTTCGAAATTTGCTTAAACCTATTAGTTACATATAAAGCTATTGTATGAAGCTTTGCCATTGCTCTGAATTTGAAAGGTCCTTTTCAGAGCCAGTGGTCCCTTGGGGGCCAGAGCTTGGCTGGCTTCCAGAGTCAGCCAGAGGGTAAGCGCAGGCGCCAGCAGATTCATTGCGGGGACGGAAGGTGGCCGATCTATAAGACTGGTAGCGCAGATGTGTGCAGTATGTAACCATCAGTCACCGTATTACACGCTATGTTATTCATCAGTCACAGGCGTGTCTGAGGTTAAACCGACAGCAAGACGTAGCGTCTTATGTCCGCCGTAAAGTCGGTGAAACCTACTGGTGATCTTTGTCATCGACGATGATGGAGGGGGGAGCGATAGCCCAATAGTGCTACTCTTCTCTCTAAAGAGGCAGACCAGTTGATTGACAATCACCTTGTCATTGCACGTCTCCGACCATCTGGAGCTTAACACACGAGAGCTCCGTTGTGAAAGGTCTTTGGCCAGAATTTCTACCTGAGGTAAATTTTTTAACAATTCGTAATATATTACATGACTATCTATTTAAGCCCTGTGATTCATATTTTCAACAAAATAATATAACAGAACATTATCAATGCGTGTGGTCTCCATATACCATACGTAATCATACCCGCATATAATACGTAGGTAGTACAGGTAGGTACTTTCCTCGTAATAACTTTTATGAGCCAATCATGACATACATAATATGAGCCAGAACAATGACAAAGTACTTACTGAACATTCACGTTCGCACTACTTGCAGTTTTAAGTAATATCAGTTATAATATCAAAAACCATAGGAGAGCAAAATAAGCAATCTTTAATTTACTATGATGATACACATATGTCGCCTAAGTATAGTTGGATATTTGGAATGATGCTTCGAGATATTTTTATATGAAAAAAAAATCCAATTTCAAAACGAATTTAAGGGATTACTTTAGGTTAATCCTTATACAACATACGTATAACATAAATTATTAATAAATAGTCTCTATCGTTAATTATGTATTTTTATTAGCAATAAATTATGTATCACGTATGTTAGATTTTTGGTATGTATTCATCGACGAGCCTCTAATTTCATACCCACATTGCTATAATTAAAGAAAAAGAATTCTTCATGTTTGTTTAATGACATCATACATCCGCTTTATTGAATATTTTTAATATATGTAGCCAGTGTCACGGGATGATATAACGTTTCTAATGATAACCTAAACATAGTTATGGTGGAATAAAGAAACTTTAACGACATACATTAACCCTAAATACAATACACAACTTTTTGGGCAAAATCCAACCATTTTAAAGTCCAAAAGAAATGTATTCCTCCTAAATGTAGTCCAAATTTTAGAAATGTAGTCCAAAAGAAATGTTTCAGAAATGTATGTAGATATGTATTACACGACTATGAAAATTTTATAGATCCTGTTTCCGAAGATATAAAAAAGAAAAAAAAAAACACAGAACAGAAACCACAGAAGCGGCTATCGGTTTGAGAGTATTAATATGGTAGGTTGAAAGTACCTAATGTTAATTTCTTTAAGATACGTCTTAATTTTACATTAACATGATACTTCTGTTGCCCCAATTGATCTATTATCAATAAACAGACTAATATATACGTGTTTATCTACAAATTCCATGGCCAGTTTCTGTATGTGAGCAATGATGGTCGATTCAAATAGCGCTTTGATACATGATAGCAAATGTGGATAACCTTTGATTTTAGCTCATTAATTACCAATCCTCATTCAACACATTAAAATTTTCTTGCATACATTTTGTCCAAAAAGAAAATTCTTGTGGTGTCACTAGTATAAAAAGCAGAAAATCCACTAATTCCCATGATGACCGAACTTAGTTATGACTAAATGTAGCATTTTAAAGAAGACATTATAAATTACATCACAAACTCAGCTACTGCGCAAACGAATATTTACCATGCGCCATATTAGTTGCGGTAGCATAGTAGATTAGCGCCGCAGCCCGTAATCGTTGATGTTAAGCAACTTTACGGGATGGGTGACCAAAAACTTATTATCTCGAGCTACTCCATGTTTCAGGAGGCACATAAATCCGTTATTCCCGGCTTCATTTTCAGTTATATACCCTCCAATCGGCATTGTTCCAGCGTGGAGGGTCATGGCCCATTTTCCTTAATTATCCATAAGAAAGGGGCCCCTGAAGTGACGACGTAAAAGGGCTGATGAAGATGATATTAGTTGCAACTTACTGTACACGTATTGGCGTTCTAATTAGTTCATACGATGGATGACATATAAGATAAAGAGAGCAATTATAACTAAATATACCTATTGTCTATTCTTACACAACATACGTACTACTTTTATCACTCTTTACCTTTAAATCTAGAATCAACATTGATTATGTTACTGCAGCTATTATAATTTAAAACACAAAAACTATACGTTTAAGAAGAAAGACTCCTTTAAATAATCCAATTTTAAAGAACAACAAGATGTATTGTTGTAAGAGCTGCGTTGCGCATACATAATTCGCATATACAATTAAGCAGCAGAAACTAGCTTAACACTGGTAAACAAGCAAACTTTACGATTGCGTGACGTCTACATGCTGTCTCGTTCTAACTCAGTATTTACGTTACGCCAGGTCTTGCTCTCTCGTACGTGACGTAATGCGCCCGCGCATTTACGGACAATGCAATTCACTCGGAGCGTAAACAGCGCGAGATCACAACGTTAATTTATTTCATCATAAAGTTTAAGTTTTTTATAAATTTCTATAAAATCTTTTATGAAAATTATTTCGTCAACTCAGTGAAACCAAGTGCAGTGATAATTTTGTGTCGTAATCATAAATCTACGTGAAGGTTAAACTTTTGCAATGGACGCAACGAGTAAGTACCAAACTGGTTTTCAATTTTTAAAAGTAACATCATCAATTTTTATTACACTCTGATGATTAAATTATACATAAACCACATGCATACCTTATTCGTTAGTACGTCAGAAAGACATAAACTTTAATCTAATTGGCTTATATTTAAATTTTACAATACTAATCTTTAAAGAAGCCATAATAATACGTTTAATTATACAATTAATATAAACTTACAATTTCTTTCAAAAAGTAAAGTTGAATAAGAACAAAGAATTTATGTAAAATAATTAACATACTCTTTCATTTATTTATCATAATTAATCTTTAGCATTACACATTTGTCTTCAATTTATATTATTATTTGGTTACAAAAAAAAATCTGCTATTATATTTGATCAATTCTGCATTCACAGTGCTAAACTGAAATGTTTAAAGTGGTTTACTTTGTCCCGGACAAATTAATTGCAAACATTTTTTTATGTATAATTTTATCTTCTGATAAACAGCATTGGCCTGTTTTGAATTTAAAAATCATCATAACTTTCGATTCTTCGTAAAGCCTTGTGAGTCACGCCCTAATTACATTGCGGTTATTTCGACATAACAGTTCATAATAGATTCTTTTGCTAAGAAAAATAAATCAACTTAGTATCACGACATCCATTTCTTCAAATTTTACCAATATTATAAAGAGAAAAGATTCGATTGTTTGTTCGTTTGTTTGTTTTGTAATATAAAACTATTCTGTTTTGTAGAGGTACCTATTAATATTCTTAGTAGTGTGTTATAAAATTCCAACAGACGTTGGACAAATTATGAATTGTAGTCACCCAATAAACTTACTGTTGCTTGTATGTTTCAATTAAAAAATTGGAACACATTATTAAATATGATCACTATATTCCTTTTTAGAATAAAATTCTTATACCTAATATACTTTGGCATACCATATTGTCATAATTTTTATCATAATATTTTCACATTTATGGTATACAGTATATTTTGGCATAATTATTTATATTTTAAGGTAGTTTTTTAAATTTTTTTTTAATTCCCCTAATATTATCAGACATTAAAAAGCTACCTACCACTGGGTTAGGTAAAGTGACAACTGTGATCAAAATAAGATTCTGTAAAAATCTTAACCCGAATTCGAATTCACTCATACGTACGAATTCACTTCAAAAAGCAGCATCCGCTCAACCTTGAATTGGTAATAACGTTTCGTGGGATAAGTGAAGTAAATTTCGAAATGACGTAGGAATAGAATACCTAATAGATAACATGAATCAATTTTGTTTTATAAAAAAATTGAATCTATACAATTTTTACACTAAATTACGTGAATTTGAATTCGGGTTTAGATTTTTACAAAATCGCAAAGCAAAGCGATCGAAGCGAGCGTGCCGCGGTAGCAGCCGGCGAACACCGTGTTCACTTTATAGGTTGTTGTGCTTAAATATGATTATGCTTAAAAAATATGGATTAGTCATTCATTCATTGTGGGTAAATTTAATTAGAATAAACCAAAAGTAAGTATGCCATATTATATTCCATCTCAAAATTCATGCAGATGGATATGGAACATGCTATCTTGATATTTTTATTTAAGATGTAACACATATTATGTAACACATATTTGTGGACACAAAATAAATAAATAGTGTCAAACTGTATTTTCCATACAAATAAGATAACATAATCAGAGTTTAAATATATATCTTATTAGTTGTTTTCCGCGACTTCGCCCGCATAAATTATAACTTATGTTCACGTATGATGTAGCTTCCCGTAGGTGAAAGAATTTTTAAAATCCGTCCAGAAGTTTCGAGGTGTATTATTCAATATAAAAAAAACAATCTTCCTCTTTATACTTATACTTATTTCAATAGAATAACGATAAATTAAATTAAATTATGTTTTGTTTAGATATAAGAGTGTTTGTATTTGTTTAATAGAATCGGATATCTTTCATTTGATTAAAAACTTCTGTTAATTAAATCAATACGACCTCTTCATGTTTGGTGATTCATTTTAACGAAGTACCTAATATACATATTATCATTTGTGACTCAAAATATATTTTTATAACTGCCTAGCACATGTCATATTTCTTAAAATAGGTACTCTCTTTGACCACAATGTAATTAATATCTACTTATTACCAATCATTAACGTAGCTATATAAAACAAAAACCAAGAAGTGGTTTAATGTGACGTGGACAAACAGAATAAGACCACAAGATCGTTTTCAAAATAACGACTGTCTTTCTTAAAGTTCATTCGACGAAATTGATCCCTCTGATCACAATATTTTCTATTATTATAAATGCAATAAGAGATGTTTCAAGAAGACCGTCTTATGAAGGGCATAGGTATTGTCAATGTTGACAATACTTTTTAAGAATATAATTTGAATTTAGGTTCTGCTTAGCCTTTACTTGGCAGTTTACGACGGTGTGCGAACCCACGCAAAGGTATTCACCAACTCTGACGTTCCGTGTACGACTCCCAATCGAGTGAATCTAGAATGTGAATTTTTGTATATTGTCTCGAAGTTAAAAGTTGTAATACCTTGGTTGTCTCAGATAATCCAGAATAAGAGGGCTTTAGCTACTCTTGGAACTTGAGCTATTATGTAGGTATGTTTAAATATTTTTAAATATTGTTTATTCTTTATTTTAGTGGAAAACAAAATTGGTATGCCACCTCCGTACGAACAAGCTATGCCAAACCCTGCGCCGCCACCGTCTTACTTTGGCAACAACCCTCCGCCGCCACCAGGACTGGTGGTGCCGCCAACAGCTCCCCGTACCACAGTCATCACCACACCTCCGACGTCGAGGCCTAGCAAACTCGGCCCGGGCCCCACAGGCACTACTTGCGTCACATGCAACAAGTCCATAGTTACGCGTGTTGACTATGTACCGAATAATCGCACGCATATCGTCTCTGCAGCGCTTTGTATTCTAGCCGGGTACGTGTTATTGAATACATTACTAGATTATAATAAACCAGTGCAAGTGGCCAATCGCGTATCGCATTTTTATATATGCCGCTTTGAAATATGCAACCTTCGATAATGTGTCTTATTATAAGTAACTTATGTGTTATATTATTTATAACTTATCGTTCAAGTTTAAACCATGGTTAGTTAGTAATTTGTGTTTGAATAAGAACTACTATCGAGTTACTTTTACAGTTTGTAAATCTATATTTTTTTTTTTTGTTTATCTAGGAAAACAAACAGTCGTTTTCGTAATACATATAGACCTGACAGTTCCATTACTAAATACTAACAAAATTTATTTAATTGCTTACTATTAACAAAAGTAATGACATGGAATAAACTTAACCTACACATTAAACAAACAGCTTCTCCACAATAATATCAAAAACTCACTCTGATTATTCATTTTTAAATATAATATCTCCCACTTTTTCATTAAAAAATTTCTTTAACACTGGCACCAGACATGTGAACACTGAATCAAATAAATCTTCAGTTTAAAGGGTTAAGGCGATTAAACCTTTGAACACATATTTGATCACATATCTGTCGGGTATAACACTGACCAATATATAAAATAAATTTATATATACATATATACATTACACAAGATTTATACATATAATAAATTTATTTTATTTAAAATAATAATAATGATTTATTAACTACATCCATATTACAAAATTCTCTTATACTACTCGTATATTTATACATTTAACAAATCCATTCATTTTCATTTTATCAAATAAAACTAATAATAATGATTTATTGAGAACTCCATATTATACTATTTGGCGGGCACATAAACAATAAATTAGTTATTCATTCAATAAAAGAATAACGTTAAAATAATAATCACATTAGTAGAAGATAGGAATGGTGAAACAAAATGACCATAGAATTTCTATATTAGACCTATACTTACCTATTGAGTAATTGTTACTTTCAACCTGTTTCAATAAACAAGAAAAAACTATTGCATGTATACATTATCGTGAACAATCTGTCTAAACGTGACTTTTTTAGTGAAGAAAACATTATTCTAGTTACAAAACACAATCAAATATCACGATAAATAAGAATTATCAAACTCTAAAATATTAACAGCGACACGTAATCGCGCCTACTCTACCTCATTAAATAACTAGAAAAAATAAATAGAGGACAGATTCCTTCCTCATTTAAATCTTACTGCAAATTAAAAATAACCACGAAATATTCATTACTTTTAAATTATGCGCAAATAAATAGAAATGATTCATGCTTCGTAGACTTAAGTTCGTAGGTATCGGTCTAGATATAGAAAATCCGATCACGATTTCTCGATACACGCGCATTTGATGTGAATCCACTGCAATATGTTGTCTAACTAATGCTTTCACAGATTAAATGAATAGTATGTAACCGATTTTGTAACCAGCCATTATTTATTTACACTTCATAGTACAACACACTACAGAACAATACAAACATTAAAATCCTAATTGTAGACAGTAGGCAGTAGGCGCCCTAATAACAAATCGCTGTTAAGCAATAGCTTTACAGCGATTTCTTCAAGGCAACTTAAATTGTGAGAAAATCTCATATGCACAGTAATAAATAATCTAGGGTAGGGTGCGCGCATTGCAAAATTAAAAATATTTACTTAACCAGGAGCGTATTAAACCTTTATTATTATAAATACAATTATAGTTATATCTTACATAATTATAATAATAAATACATTATAATACAAAAGTAACAATAATTATGCGTATGCGTAGGATTTATCGATATATAGTATTAATAAATCCAGGTATTTGCGGTTGATGATGTAGTTGCGCGAGGTATATGAACCATTAAAACTATGCGGCATGGTTTGCATCAATTCTGCCATTATACCAATATCAAGGCAAGGTGTAGATGCTTAAAATATTCGCCGTTAACATCCAATTCAAGTTTTTTTCCAAACACAAAAGTTCCAGCATCTTGGAAATATTGGCTAGGGTTAGTAGTTTCATGAACATCATATTTGTCTTCCACCTTTAAGCTACCGGATGTATCTTAGCTGGTGGATTCGTACTTGCACTAAGTAGTGGGCAAAAATACTTGCGAGAATATACGGGAGAATGTCAAGACAGATCTTTTCATAGTAGATAAGAAAGGGAGCGGGAAGATGAGGGCTAAAGCTGGGGAGATTCTTGCAAATTCTTAACGGTACCCTTACACATAGAGTGTACAATTGTGTGAAATGGTTGAGAGAATATTTGTTCGAGATGGGGCTTGTATCTGACAATCGACATTATTATGGAATAAACAAATTGACAAGGTTTTTGCAGGGATGACCGAGTTAACAAGTTAGATGATTCTTTTTGATTTTTTGTAATCTTTGCTGGGAAGCAAGAAGGATACCGATGGTCTGGAGTTGAGCAGTCTTTGTTTTCTTTTACAAAGAAAGACTCACGTACAGACTGCACCGACTATAGAACCAATTAGTTTTGCCGCTAAGGTGTGCTAAAAATCTAATAAGAGTAAATCAGATGGAATTGTGTGGATGTCTCAAGGGTTATTTAGAAACAGAAAAGCATGTATGGATAAAATATATTTAGCACTACAACATAGTAACTTTACGACTAAAATATCTTTTATAGCTTTATGGACTCAGAGAAAGCGTTTGATAAAAAAGATATTCTGGGTAATTCCACCGCAATATGGAAATGAACCCCAATGCTGTTGCGTGATATATAGTCAACTTATGAAGACTGTCATTTTCATTGACATGGTCATCCAAATATTTGGTATATGGACTACGATTCAGATAATGTATAAATTTTGTATTTTTTCTTATTATAATATGACTTAGAAACCATATCAGATTCATCTCAGTTTCAGATTCAAATGTCGAACTATGTTACTGTTATGTTTTGTTAAGATATATAATTAATTTCTTTATTTTTTTTTAATAATTGCACGTTATGAATAGGAAAATTAAAAATTGTTAGCGGGTATTTTATATAGATAGTATACTAACAACTTACCTTAAATAACAACAGAATTACATATTCTTATTTTGATGTTTTGGCTTAAAGCGTTCTGGATGCTATAAATAATAACTTTATTAATTTAAAAAAATACATATAAATTAAAGCCTAATTTTCTTATATAATATTTGTTTCTAATTTCCATTTCTATATGGCTCATTTCCATTAAGTGTAATCTTATTACCATTTATTGAAAATCTTTAAGACCCAATATCTTGTAATTATATAGTATCCTGATCGCTTTCCCTTCAACATTTTTATAACAGAAAATTCACCAGCTTTAAATAAACTATTTTTGGACACAATTTTAACAGCCGATTTGCACGAAATGAAATATACACCCAGCTTATTCCACATTTTGTGTTGTATAGCTTCTGGCAGGTAAGCCTATTCGATGCAAACAAACAAACAATCAATCTTTCCTCTTTATAAAGTTAGTATAGATAACTGCGTTGAAGCATCCCTATAAGTTTATATGACACCCAGGGCCAATAGCTCATACGCCGGTTTCAAAAATATATTTAAGATAATATTATCTCGAGTTTATTTGTTGTGGTACTTCTTTAATACAAATGTTTAGTTACTTATTTTCGATCTGAATGATGTACCTACGTAATGTTGTCTAATATTTTTTCTATACTTATATAGAAGTAAAGTTACAAATTCTTTTGATTTTTTTTTTAGGGTGTAATCTTCGGAAGTACTGATCCGTTTATGGATATAATTTCTCCTTGTTTTCACGGGAAGCTACATCATACGCGGGTAACATAAGCTATAATTTACGCAGGCGAAGTCGCACGAAAACAGTTAGTTATAAAATGTACTGAATGAAAGATAACAGAACGTTAAAATTTTTGACATGCATGATAAATATCAGAACATTTTTTTACTCTTTGTAACACTAATAATTTTGTATTGCAGATGTTGTTGTGGGTGCTTCGTTCCTTATTGCATGAGATCGTGCAAAACTGCAAACCACTACTGTCCTCAATGTCAAGCATTCGTCGGTTCATATATACCATCCTGATTTATTTTGTGATCTCACTAGGATCTGTATAAATATCACTATTACGAATTTAAGCTCAACATTGGTCTTTGCACATTTTTTTAAATGAACAAATGTATTAGAACTATATTTTTGTCACTATGTCATAGAACCAATATCTAATATATCTGAATTAATACTATGGGGTGGATGTGCTAGTCTCACTCCAGGATTCTTCTTTCTCATATACGTTTTGAAATGCATGGGTTTTATTGATTCGATCTATAGTACTGTGTCAGCGCTGTGTTCGACGCTGTGTTATATTTACGCTGTATTTCAACAGAATAGAACTGCTGAGCGTAGTCGTCTATGTGCCGTGCTTTAATGCTCTAAAGTGAGATGGGATAAATCTGTGTAAATAAGATATATTAGTGTTAGACATCCCGTTCTTTTTTAATTCTAACAAAAAAGAAACTATGCTAAAATCTGTGCAATTGATCAAGTTCCATTTTAAAAATAATTATGTATCTATGAAATTGGAAAGAAAATCTCAATACCAACATATCATTAATTCTATTTATATAATTATATTTACCTAAATAATTTGTATGTTATTATGATAATTATTGTTATATAACAAGAGGACAGGGTTAAAGGTATATTATTTAGTTTTTTTATTATATAGTCCATGAATACTCAAATAAAGCGTCAGTTGCATATGGCCTACACCGCGTGAGTAGGTACTAGGTACTATTTTTTAAACATTTGCTCGACACGCGAAAATGGGCTACTATCATACTAAGAATATGAAAACTAAGCGGGGTGAGTCACCAAGGACTGTTGATTTATTTAAGCTTTCCCTATTGATAACTTTATACATAAGAAACACACTTTGAACATATAAATTGAGACTTTGACCATATAAAATATTCCGTTCGAAACAAACCTTAATTCATTGCACTTTTTAGGTGGAGCAATGCTTTTTATCCAAGCATATCAAAAAATGAATCTGTAAAAGGCATTTTTTTTTATTGTTTAAATAATACTATTCGTAATAATAATAATATTTACAACACGTTAAAGTTAAAAGGGTCAAATGTTATCTATTCTTCATTAGGTTTGATTATTTATTTCAAATGATTCATTTTATAACCCTTCTGATGGCCTAATAAGTAATAACACAACTTTCAAACAAAGTGTTTCTCATTATTTAACACTAATATTTTAAAATCATTCTCAACATACAATATAAATTTTAAGCAAGAAAAACACAAAGATTTGTAAGTATAACCTATTGATATACATATTAACTTTACAAATTTATAATTAAGTTAGTAAATAATTGTTTGGAAGATATAACGTTCGAACCTTTGATTTATTATAATCAGAAATTAGATCACAGATATTTGATCAATTAATTTGTTTCTGCTACTAAAATAAAAGAGAAAAGATTTCTATCAATTTAAAATTAAATGTTTCATTTATAAAGTGGTAAATGGATGTAGGTGCCTCTGAATTTTATTTTTCTTTATATAACGTTAATAAGATACGCAGATAAAATCAATGAAATGTTAGACCCTCGTTCATACCGCATTGTACTGGACGTTTTCTGTACTTTGTAGTCTACATATTAAAGGACAGACTTAATTGCGTTCTCATTATAGCATAGACAATATTACTTTAGAGTGAATTTTTTCAAAATCTTACATTATATAAAACATAAATATCTTTGATAGCTGTGATGTCTCAAAGTTCACTTTCTCGTAATCGTAATTAAGGTACAAAACAACATCGGAGAAACTTGCGAAGACAATGTGCTGTGAATGGAGCCTTAATGCCTTTAATCTTGCCTCTAATGTTAAAGAGTACATAATCAATAGGTGCAATGAATTTATGTAACCATTACCTAATCAAAACAGGCTTGTTTGTAAAACACTAGCAATATCGGATTAAATACTCAACAGCAACAACTTTTATTCTACTAGTTTTGTTAGCTTTGAATTTTATACATAAATTAAATTTAATTTACCGCCGGAATATTTGTAAATCTACACACAACACCGATATGTATAGTCTGATCGAGGGCGAACGAAAAGCTGATAATAACACAAATTGTTATGTGAGCGTTAAAAGCAAACGATATGTATCGTTAACCATAGACCCTTATGTCTTTACCTGAGGTTGACACGAAATACTAGCATCGCTGTCTGAGACATCCGACACATGCTCATTCAGTAACTAACTTGCTTTTAGCAGTATGCTTTTTTATTTTTCTTCTCTGTCACTTTATCCTAGATTTCACTCGATAAATTATATTCTTTTTTTTGCGTAGCCTATTTGTACGAAGTTAGATCAGCGACCTATAATACCATACCAGCATCCTGCTTTAGTAATAGAGTTTTGTTTAAAAGTGCGAGAGCGCTGCGGGTGTCTGTGTGTGTTCTACACTTTATTTTTAACAGAATACCACTGGTTTACAATAAAAATCAGTACTGCACGGAAGCGCTACACTGTCCGCCTTAGCTAAAAACAGCAGATAACTTAATCGATTCTCTAACTGATGATGTAGGTAATAAAAGTCTGCATTTTTTTGAGATTCCGCTTTTTTTCTTTGTGGTGCAGTATAAATATCTATGGATAACGATAAGTAGCGATTTTTCAACGCTCACAATTATTCTCTGTTTTTTGTACATTTGTCGCCTACCCTAATACCAGACTATACATACTTCACATAGCGCGATGAAATATAGACGTATACCTAAATGTCACGAAAAACCAATAAAATCTTGAAAAACAATTTATGATCAAAATAGTGAGTTATAAGTTTGTTCTTGTTGTTTATATTAGCTATATAGTCCTGCGATGTTGCTAGTGTAATAATAAAAAAACTGTACATAAAGTTAGATATTGTTATCTTAATCATCGTTCTTAAAGCCAATGCAAGTGATAGCTTTTAATTTTCTTATCGATTATATATATATAATTTTTATTATAATTATTAATACGAATGGCAAAAAGTGTTAGTTCTGATGGTTTTGTACATACGATAACTAAGAATGGTTTGGAAACAATGATAATTTACTATTGTCGTATGATTATTTTATTTAATAAACAATGTTTCAGACATTCGTGATATGATAAGGGTCAGGGCATATCTGATGGAAGATGAAAAGAGACAGAATGTACAATACCAAGAAGTTTAGATATCTTATTTATCTTTACGTACAATATTTATTTTTATTTAAATGTACATACCTATTATATTACTTCTCGTACGGTCAACATGACATCTGAAGGCCAATTTTATTTCTCTAAAAACGAAATGTCATCCAGTTTTGAAATGCTAATACCATTCCATTCGTACTTTGGAAGGCTCGTTAAGCCGTTAGTCCCGGCTGCATTTGCAGTCGTTAATACCCTCTAATCCGCATTGGGCCACCGTGGAGGGTCATTGCCCATCCTTTTTAACCATCCATAAGGAAGGCCTGAGCCCCTGCAGTGGGGACGTAAAAACGCTGATGAAGATGATGATGAATACCATTCCAAAGAAACGCATTTTGTGATTATTTATACAACAGAGGTAGGACCTCACACTGACGCTGATGCACAGATAACTTCGTAGGTATGACTTTAAAAGAATTATAACGATACATTCAATCTTATAGATGATCTGGGGGTCTAACGATGAGTTCTCAGAGCAATGCTTAATCCATGCAGCGAACGGGACACCCCTATTGTTCCGTAATAACGCTGTCCCGTTCGTTGTATGGGTTAAACATTATCTTAAAAGTTGATTGTAACTGCCAGGTACTAACGCATACTTCCATGATACGCTTAACTGATTTCTGCTAGATTTTCCGCGACCCTTAAGACCATTATCGTCGTAATTTATAAATATTTATCTATAAATATAGGTTGCTCCTTAGTAATTGGTTAGTGGATCTAGTGTATTTTTTTTATTACAATTTTTCTATTACTAATGATTAACAAAAATTACAGTCTGGTGATATTTTACATACGAAACTATCGATTTTGCTACTTTAAATATGATGTAATCTATAAGTTAAAATGCAATGTACAGTATTTAAAGATATTGAATAAAATATTTAAAAGAACGCATTTTCTTTTCTTTTTTAATTGTACTGACCAGATTTAATAATGCCGAATTAATGATAAAGAATAGTGAATAGCTAAATATGGATTTGTCAGTGTTACCAACTTACTGACAATTGAAAAAACGTTTAATTATCATTAGTTTAAAGCGACATTCTTTACAAATTTAACATTCATTATCCCTTAATGGACGTTTGTGCAACAGACCGTTAGTCGTTTATCCACCAAGAGATATGACAATGTAGTGAAATATCCTATGGCTTGAGTCATAGCTACAATAGGGACGATGACCAATTTCTTTTTGTTTGAAAAATATTAAACACGTTTTTTTTACGTTATCATTAATATATGGCTATAACATGATGTCACGCTTTTGTACATTTTCTACAAAACTGATGTAGTGAGACCCAGTTACTGTTATCTAAGCTATTTCTTTTTAAATTGAAGTAAAAAATACGAGTGTAATATTTTTCTATTATCTGACTGACGAAGGACTAAATAGATTTTTTTTTAACCAGCATCGTCCCTATTAGGTCACACCCGAGCAGTCGCAACAAACAAAAGTGTTTGTTAATGCATTACCTACAGCAATAAAGAGGCTACCATATATTCAAGCAGTGTTTAAAATCACGAATAAGTAGTTTGAATAATGTACATAGTATTACTTAGTATTTTTTAATATAATAGCTTTCTGCAAGCGGTTTCGCCCGCGTGGTCTTGTATTATGCATTAAAACCTTCTTTTTGAATCAATTCATCTATTAAACCGCATCACGATCCGTTGCTTAGTTTTAAAGATCTAAGCATATATAGGAACAGATATACGGAAAGCGACTTTGTTTTAAACTATGTATTGATTAGGTATACGTCACAACAAATGATAAAAAGACCAAGTCATGTGCTCATGGATTACTGATTAATGCGCTGATTTTACATAAAAAAGATAAGTACAACTACTTTGCTGCAGATAGTAAAAAACATCACTTTCCTTCAAATGAAACGTCCAAGAACAAACCATAGTAATACAATTCTGAGTTTTTTCATACTTAGAAAACACTTATTTCCGTTGAACAATTTTTTGTTTCAATAGTTTTTATTTAAAGATATCATTTTTATTTTTGTACTTATAATTGTACCAAGTAGCTCGGTAGAGCAGTGAATATACGCCGTGACCCGCGATCTTTGTTGTTAAGAAACTTTCGAGAGGAGCAGTCACGGGATGGGTGACCAAAAATTTATATATCTTGAACTGCTCCGTGCTTCGGAGAGCACGTTAAACCGTTGATCCCGTCTGCATTTGCAGTCGTTAATACCCTCCGAGGCTTGTGCCCTGCATTGGGAATGTAAAGGCAGATTATTATGATGATGATTATGAATAGCTAACAAAACATAACAATCCAGATTATGTAAGGCCAGTACCATGAACTATTTAGAGACGTTATTATAAATCTGACTAACTTTTAATACCCACATCGTATTTAAGAGCTTTTGGTAAGACATTGATTTTTATTATCGTATTAGATACCATGGTTAAAATTTTGAGAATAAATCATTTAAAGAGTACCTATTATTCGATATTAATCGAAAGTTACAAAATATATACATCATTCTTACAAAATGTTACATCATTAAAGTATAATTTAGCGTAAATAAACTCAATACAAAACTAATGCTCTGCACCTATGTACAGATTTAATTTGATAATAGCATTTATATTTACTTAAAATGACTTACGACTAATAAACCTAATAATTTCAGATTAAAGTTACCTACGATTTTTTTGTCTTGCACTACGTTACATGCTTCCTTAAATTTAACAGAAATTAAAATAAACATAATAGTATCCTTCAAATAAATAAAAAGAACCATAAGAATTTGATGAAACGAAATAGGTCACACTCGGAAAATATGCTTTCTCCTTTTCGCGCATCGCCAATGAACACCCAAGAATTTTCCACAGTTTGAACAATAATGTTCTACGTCCTTCCAACGCTTCAAAAAATATGGTATCAGGCAGCCTCCCATCCACCTGAAAAGCAAAATTATTTTATTATACACAGCTAAAACTCAAAATACCACCGCGTATTCTATAAAAAATATTCTTTATTTTAAGAGCGATAAGATACTTAATATTTTGATTGCTCCTATTGTTATTGTAATACATCTTGTTCAAGTGTTTATTCCATTTAACGTCCTATTAGATAACCTTAATTCTGCACTTGATAAGCGATATCCATATTATTTTTAACTTTTAAGGAATCATAAAAATGTATGCGTTTTTTTTAAATATATAAGAACAGTATAAATTATTCTTGGCTTGCACTTTTATGATTAAAGAAAAACCTAGACTTTGAAATGTCAAAAACAGTTCTGTTAATGGTGACACGCATGATAATTTATATTCTATCGATTTTAATTGTTTTTATTTTGTTACTTATTGAATGATGCCCTTTCATATTTTATTACAAGCTTTTATTTAGTTTTGCCTTGTTAGTGTGTTAGAGCGTAATTCTCTTGGACCTCAGACTTACTAATGAAATCGGAGATGAGGAAGTACACATACATATTTTCATGCTATACAAACTTTTCAAGTATACTTTTAGTGCGCACAAATAAAAGTTTATTTAAAAATATATTTTTATTATATTTTTTTAATATTACAATTGAATATGCATTTATATTATTTCATGTTGTCATCAATCTCCCTATCAACGGATAGAATAGAAACTTTTTACTTGTTTAACTCCAGTAAAAAAAAAGAGAAAAACTATCGTCATTATATTTTACCATAATACTCGTATGTACGTTACTATAAATATATTTACGATATATTAAATTTGCTGCACTGCACACAAAATTTTCTACATGTACGAGTATATGTCTTTGTACACACTACTTTTCGCAAATTAGGTAACGGACCGCGTAGCTTCTTTTTTTGGTTTGTAAATAAAATAAAATAAAATAAGGAATGCTTAACTTCAACTGTAGATAAATAAGTAAATGCTTCAACTTAGGGAACAACATAAGATTCATTAAAATCAGTTTAGTAGTTTTCAATTAAATAAATTAACAGCGATAACAAAGCAATTTTTTTTAATTTAAATTGAATTCAAGTAATAAAAGGGAAATACTTATTCCGAAAACGATTCAATTTCATCCATAATGCCTAATCCCCAGCAGTGGACACATTAATAGGTAATTGAGATGTCCTATAAAACAATGTTTAAAAATGACCTTTACTTACCACAACAAAATGCCCAAGATCAAAGCGATCACGTGCGTGCACATAGTGACTTTATACTCAACCCTGCTCATCACATCTTCCTGGCAATATGGACACCGCACACCAACTGGTTCTGAACCAACTTGTATTAAATCCATCTCTATTTCGTCGCGACTTCGCTGAATCTGATGATACATGGGAGAATCCACTGAAACAATTGGTAGTTTCTACGTTTTAATATTTACGATGACCTCCGCGGCTGAGTGGTGTGGTAGTTTCAAGATGTCGTCATCTCTGAGGTCCTGTGTACTATTGCCGGTCGGGCCAATATAATGGAAAATTTATACTGCATTAATGATTTCAATAAATTCTATTAGTATACATATCATTCAGCTTGTTACACAAACGTCCATTAAAATTTTCGATTAGTTTAAAGCTACATTACCCATACAAATTTGACCTTCTAATGAAGCTCTAATGAGCTTAAGGCGTCATTAAACCTCAATGGACGTTTATGCAACTGACCGATTGTCTATTAGACACTAGCAGAGCGATTCTGTAAAAATCCGAACCCGAATTCGAATTCATTGATACACTGAATTCACGTCATTTAGTGTAAAAATTCTATTGATTCCATTTTTTCTATAAAAATACAAAATAAAATTAATTTATTATACGTGTCTCAGATATTCCATTCCTATGTCATTTCAAAACTCACTTCACTTATGCCACGAAACGTTATTACCAATTAAAGATTAAGCGGATGCCGCTTTTTGACACCTGAATTTTGACCGCGGAATTTTGACACCTGAGTGAATAAGAATTCGAGTTTGGAATTTTACAAAATCGCATTGCAGTAACGATAAAAAACCGACCAAGTGCGACTCGGATGTGCGCACGAAGTGTTCCGTACAGTTTAAATCACGTTTGTTATATGATTTTAGTCATAATCATTAGCCTTTTATTTCGTCCCCACTGCAGGGGCTCAGGCTTTCCTTATGGATGGTTAAGGAGGATGGGCCATGACCCTCCACGCTAGCCCAATACGGATTGGCGGGTAATAACGACTACAAATGTAGTCGGGACCAACGGCTTAACGTGCCTTCCGAAGCACGGAGTAGCTCGAGATAAACATTTTTTGGTCACCCATCCCGTTATCAACCCTTGCGAAAGTTGCTTAACGATAACGATCGTGGGCCACGGCGCTTATCCACTACGCCACTGAGCTACTCCTCATGTTTTTAGTATGTGTTGTTATACGGCAACTGAAATACATCATCTGTGAAAATTTCAACTGTCTATCTATCATGGTTCATGAGATACAGCCTAGCCTGGTCACAGACCGTCTTAATAATAAGATCCAGGTTTTTATCATTTGGGTATAAAAACATACAGTAGTTAAAAATGCTGGTACTAATAATAATCTTCATACCACTGAAGCTGAATAACTATTAGCGATCAATATCAAGATTGTAGTGTTATACATTGGACACGCTAATGATAAGGCAGGGTTACTTCATAATTATCAACATTCATACGTTTTACTATAACTAACACTCACTTTTATCAGAATAAAATCAGGTATTTATAGTAAAGACAATATTCCAAACTTTCCAGATAAATCCTTAATGTCCTATTTTCGCACACTTTCAATATTATGTTAGTTATTGACAAAAGAAATGCGCGTACTCATAGATTTCCACGTTACAACTGAAGTGTGTGACTGCGATAATACTAAAACACCGATATTCAATATTATCGCTTAGATAATATTTTAACGCGGTAGTGCTATCGTTTATTTTACCTACTTATATCTAAACCACCTTTCAAGTAGCAATATTCTAGTTTGCCGTATATTTTATAGAAATCAACTTCCAAGCGACTTCAACTGCGGATAACATGATATTCTTCTATATAAACTTAACCCATTTAGAGTTACAATTTCCAGAAAAATAATACTTTATTGGATACTGATATAAAAATATTTAAACAATGTCAGCAATAACTTTATTATACTTTATTGCATAAAAAAGCACGAAAACATTAAATCTTTGTAAGTCCGTCATTTTTAATCGACTTTAAAATCTAAAAGTAGGAGGGTATATAATACAAAGATATATGTTTTATTTTTATGTATGTTCAGCGATATTTCCTACTAATTGTAGACCGACTTTCAAAATTCTTCTTTTGATCGACATCTTAATAGACCAATTTTATCGAAATCGAATCAGTAATTTTGTTTTTATAACAAAATAAAGCATGCTTTTCATCCGATATTACCTTCATATTTGATGACTTATATAAATCAGCCAAAAAAATAAAAATTTCGTATTTTGCATTCAAAACCCGAAAGGATGGTTTTCTATGTTTAACGGGTATGTATATTTTTTATGTTAGTATGCATGTTCACCGAATTCTCCTTTAATTGTTCCCATTTGAGCCAATTTCTATCAAACTAGCTGTTTCCCCGCGACTTCGCCTGCATAAAATTATAGCCTATGTCCCCCATGTATTAAATCGCTTCCCGTAGACGAAAGAATTTTATAATTGGTCTAATAGTTTCGGAGCCTTTTCAATGCAAGCAGACGTGCAATCAAATCTTTCCATTTTATAATATGAGCGAGGTGATGTCTGCCGTGGACAGTTATTTTGAAGGGCTTGAAGAAAACCACTTCAGGGATGGCATCAAGGCTTTAGAGCATAGATGGACAAAGTGCATAGCGCTTCAAGGAAACTATACTATAACACACTAATTCAAGTTTTTCTATGCTAGGCTAGCTATTTATCATCCCTCCCTCGTAACATATTTTATAAATAGATATTTAATATCAACATCAATTAAAACATAAAATAAAAACTTTTTCAAAACTAGAACCGACTTCAATCTTTTTAAAACTGATAAATGAAACATATGTTTAAAGCTATGTTGTTTAAATCAAGAAACAGCTATTGAAATCGGATGGTTATCGCTTTTGGTTCACATTGATTCGGCCATATGCCGAATTCCGAATATTCGGCGAGCTTCTGGCCTAATAGTCGAATATTATATAACATATCACGGCATGACAATCCGTATACGTGGTGGCGAGCAAGAAAACAAAAATTTCCGTTTTTGATCAGCGCCAGGAAGCTGTGTTTATTCAGAGCGTCTTTTCTCTGAAGCTGGCTAGTCTGCAAGAAAAAAATAAGTAAACTACTTCCTGAAAACGCAGAAAAATTAATATTTTTACACCATAACCTTCAGCTTCTTAACTTTGATTACGACAACAATTAAAATGCATAAAAAATCATAAAATTTTGTAATGCTGAAGATGATTTTGTACTATTTGTTTTTGACTTTCTTGATCATAAGAAATATTAAAATAACATGATTATAAAATAAATAAATAATTTCTTTTATTTTACAAATTATCTCATAACAACAAAATATAATTATTAGGTAATTAAGTATTCGGTATTCGGCCGAATAGTATGGCATATTCGGTATTAGGCTGAATACTAACAAAAGCAGCCAAATAGGCGGAATACCGAATACTAACCGAATACTCGTTAGTTAGGAATGCCTGATCCGAATCGATATTTTAGATGATCGGTCAATACGTTCAACCGATTCTTTAAATCGATTCAATTGAATACGATCTATATTCAGATTGAATCGTATGCCTGGAAGTTCGTCATTAACCCTTCGAGCCGTTTCCGCAGCACTGGTACCACAGTGGAACTCGTACTCGTAAATAACACGATATTTCAAGTAGTCAATTTTTTATACTGGGTGACGTAAATAGGACAAACAGAAGAAAAAAACAAATTAATGCCGCCTAACGAAACACAAATACATGTGTGAATGGCTGTATAAATTTGAATTTGGAATTCCCAACCAAGGAGGCGAAATTAGTGATTAAAGGCCAATACGACAAAACGCCAATTTATCACCGTTAAGATGAAGACCCGTAATATGTTGCTTTCCGTAATAATTTAGACTTTTCATTTTTATTACTTAAAAAAATGTATAATACTATCTTAAGAGACTGAATGAGATCGATTCGTAGCAATACGATTCAGACCGTACTCGATACATGAGGTAACGATTCAATATGATCCAACAAATTGATTCAAATAAAAAGATCTAGCATCCCTACTTTGAATCTTTGACATCAAATTGACACTGACACTCCAAGCATAAAAAAAAAACATACACGCATATTTTTAAATGAATCGATTCTTGACTTGATGCCAGTATAAATAAAAAATACACTCTTAATGAAAAATGCTTAAAAAATCCACTTTGTCCCTGGCACTCTGAGATGTGACTGATGTTAGGGACAAAGTGGATTTTTTAAGCATTATTCATTAAGAATATTTTTCAATATAGCATTGTGAACGAATGCAAAACTGATCAAATATAATATAAAATATTCCATAAGTATCGAAATATATTTATAGATAACAAAATAGACAATGGAAAACCAAGCTTCTAGATAAAAAATATCTGACAAACGAGATGAAGTATTTATTTATTTGTCTAGCGCTACATATCCTGAAGATAGTTTATTTTGGAACTTGATATCATTTGGCGCAGAACTAACTATTTTGAAACAAGAACAGAATATACTGACTATATCTACTTAAATACTAAATAACTATGTACCTTCATTTTTTACTCTGTCTTTAATTATCTCAATCAGAGGTGCATTTTTGTTGTTTCTTAAAATTATTTTTGAGACGTATTTTCTTCTTACAAAATGTAAAATAATTTGGTTATCGCTTTAACGAAAAGAAATACAACGTATTTGAAAACCTTGTACCTATTTAGAATGAAAATGCAGAATTAAAAAAAAAATGTTATATAATATTCTTTATTTTGTATTGTTTTAAAGTAGGTTTGTATTTCATTTGAAACAAGTTTTGAAACGTGTAAAAACGTGTAACACAAAGTGTAATTTGCAAAATATTTTTATTCTTTGGACCTTTGGAATCACACGGATACTTTTGTCTAACTACTACCAAGTTATGAGAAATGTCGTATCACATACCAATATCTTAACATATACCGTCTGAGCTGACTACATTTGAGAATCTTGTCGGTCGTGTCGTTATCGTCGCAGTGTGTGAACGGCCTATGCCAGATATTTAAAAAAAAGTACCTATATGAAAATTATTAAAATAAAATGCGAATACTTTTCCGATTCACTATTTAAAATATATAAGAGATTTGCTATTTTTTAATAGTATCGATACTTTACAAAAATATCGATTTTAAAAGTTAGTAGCATGGTATTCGATAACTGAATCCCTAGTTGCTGATGTTTTGTAAATCGTGTTTTTTATTGTTGTATTAATTAGGAAAATATTTGTTAGTGGCAAATGACTACCTGTTTAGTTAATTATTTAACTGTGATAATAATTTCAAATTGATTATCAGGTCAGATTGAAAATCAGAATGGATGTAGATTTGCTGAGACCGGGCACAGTGCCCATTTCTAAAGACACAATTTTGTGGTTTGAGTTCCTTCTTGATCCAAATCTTTTGAAGAACCATCTTAGTAAACCGAATCCAGGTACAATTATCAATAAATTATCATGAAACATGACATCGTGAGTATTGTGTATAAAGATGGTGAACATGGAAGGATTTTTGATAAACTTAAAAAATTACTGATGAACTTCAATCATTCTTCCTTCCATCTAAAACAAGTCGGACTTCAATATATTAAGTTCTGCTATGTGATTATATTTCTAGAACCTTCAGCATGTGATTTAATTGAAGAGTTCTTGTCAGTGGACTCAAAGAATACCAATTCAAAACCTACAAGTGAACGTGTAGTAGATGTAGATGCACCACCAAGTCCACCAACTGTTACAACACCAGCTCCTATGCAATTCACAAGGAAGCAATTGGCATTAAAAATTCTTGCACTCAAAGTTGCATCTACACTTCACTGGAATTTAGGTAATATTCTACAATACTAAGAATAAACTTAATTTCTGTTGTAAAAAAAGCTCTTTTGTACAAATTGTTTTTTTACTTATATCAAATTGTTTTTTTTTATAATCTTTTTTATTCTTGACATTCAATGTTCTCCCTACTCATATTGTATACCAGCATTCTTGATGATAATAATTATATATATATTTTTTTTCATCTAAACTGTTTTAATGGAAAGAGCAAAAATTTGATTCACCCTTTACACTTAAACCAGGGAGGATTTTAAACAACATCAATCACCTTCAGGGTTGCCATTAGTGTATTCAGCTTCATTATATCATACCAAATATATGACAGGCCTGCATGGCTTTTTAGTCTTGCTTATATGTTAAATCATTTCGAAATGAAGACTTATTAATCATAAAATAGTGATTAATAACCAACTGTAAATTGTAACCTATATTATTAAAAAAATAAAAACCTACATCTTGCTTTTCAAAAGTTATGTTTTCTGGGATTATACAGTACACTGTGAAGCATTTTTTTATACTTTAGAAGATGGCAAAGCTACCTTAAGTCATGTGCTTCCTATTTATATATATATATTTAAAAATTTAAGTAAAATTTTAGTCAATTTAGTGATTTTTCTCTCCTATTTATATATATATTTAAAAATTTAAGTAAAATTTTAGTCAATTTAGTGATTTTTCTCTCTAGTGTTGAAAACTGTTTAACCACCTGTCGCCATTAAATTTGTTGCCTGTCATATTGGCTACTCTAAGCAATTAAGTAGGAGTACAACAGAATTGTCACCATTGCACTGTTTGTGTATTAAACTTTCCATTATTAAATTTTCTTATGGCTTGTTTTCAGATATATTTGAAACCAAGTTGCCACCACTTATTCAACAGCAATTGATGCAAGATCTAGTGTACATGGCCACAGACACTGCCTTTACTGTCCCACCAATAGTTAGTATTAATTGAAATTAAACTAAATATATTGTTGTTTTATGAATTTCATGGTACAATGATTGTGGAGGCTAATCACCTCTTATAGAGGTCTCTAGTCAGACGGATAATCAAAAATTTATCATCATAAAATGCTCTAGTTCAAAATGCATGTTAAACCATTGACCTGTTAAGAGTACTGAACACCAACAAACCACACAAGTTCCATATATATTTCTATACTGATAGAAGACCTGCACCCAGTGTAGTAGCATACCCTGTATTAAAATGAATTGGGAGCCCTAATGGAGGGTAAAAATTATAGCTAATGTAACCCAGGGGCCTCATATCATGAATACGTCTAATACAGTGGTAGCTACTCTTTGGCAGCATCCCAGCTATGCTAACAACTGCTGATACACATAAAATCAAAAGTTATACATGCTCTCTGTAGCACAGAGAAGCACAAGATGATAAAGTATTAATTATTCTCTTAAAAATGACAGTTGCAAAAGTTGATTTACCTCACAGTAAGCCAAATGTGGTAGCCATTGAGCTATCAAGCTCCATAATAAAATAATGACATATATTTCAAAACCGTAGTATGAAAACTGTTAACAATGATATTAATGAAACAGAGAAGTGGTAACAAGTTTTTATTTTTTCTATTCAGGAAATACCGCAAGGACTGATGCAGCAACCTAAAGTTCAATTTGCACTTACACTATACCATAGGTGGATATTACGGTTTCCAGTGAAAGCTGCTCTATATGCTAAATCAACAAAAATGTCTTTTATCCATATGTAAGTATTTATATTCAGGTCTTTACTTTTTGTGTTAATTTATTTAGCTCAATCACAATATTATTTTAGGCCTGGTATGCAAACTGAGGTTGGATACACACCAATGAACCAAAATTTTGAAAAAATCTTGAGAATGGCTGAAGTATCTCGATTGCAAAGTATTAGGTTTCTAGAAGAAATTTTATCTTTTTATGAAACACCACAAAATTCCAACCATAGAGAATCCAAGAAAATCAAAGTACCTGTTATGGAAGCATTTGTACATTTGACAGAAGACTCGGATGACTTAAATCATAATTGGGAGGCTGGTGATACTGTTATAAGTCAATATGAATTTGCAATGCAGATACATTTTGATTTATGCTATAATTATTTCTTTTATGGTCAGCATGACTTGGCTAAGAAGCATATTCTTGGTTGTAGAGAAAACTTTAACCTTTTGGAAAAAGAAGTATCCAGCTATGGGTATGGTTCTCATAAAGTTATGCCATGGGGTGAATTTTATTATGCTAGTATGACAAAGGATGATATTTTGGGTTACGTCAGGGCACTGAATTTGGCAATGGAAGTCTTAAATGAAGAGCCCTCACTTTTACAAAGGCTACAAGAATCAATAGCCAATCATTATACTGGCATCATAGGTGTATTACAAGCTGATAATTTGGCAAGAGAAATACCAATGATTCAAAGACAAGTGGTAGAATTAGATATTCAAGGATCAGCATCAAGTGGGGCATTTACTGTAGCTAGGGATTTACTGAATAGAGTCTCAGCCTTAAATGCAGTCAGATATGCCTTAGAAGGCGGTATCCCATCAACACACCCTGATTTTCTTAACAAATTTAAAACTGTTGGAATAAAATTTTTTGATCTCCTATTTTGGGCTTTAGGACCAATTTTGATATCTAATCTATCTGAAGATGATTGGGATAATCTAAGAATGTTTTTCCTTCATCTGGCTTCGTCTCAGTGTAGATTACCAATTGACAGAATCGACGAATATTTAAAAAAACATGTTGGAGATGCATCTGAAAATATACGAAAAAAATTGATATCAGATGAACAGCTAAGAATTATATTAAATGATGCTATTAATCAAGATGATGAAAATATGGATATACCTCGTGAATTGTTGACTGATGATTGGGATACCTCAGATTTTGATTTCAAGACTGTTCCAGAGTTGGAGATGGGCAGATTAAAGAAACGTCTCATTGAAGCGTCAACAGCTGATGACGTCCGTATGTGTTTGGTAAAACTAGCTATGATGTCACCTTCATCACCCTTGTGGAAATTAAGTCCATCTTGGAAACCCGCAGGTGGGTTAGGAAATGCTTTGGTATCTCTTCCAAGAGGGTTCTTGCAAGATTTTGGCTATGTTGTTTCTGGAGCAGCAAGAGCTAGAGCAGAAGCGGGATGCTCCCGAACTGCTTTATCACTTCTCTCGGTACTCGAAGGTGAAGCTCGAAGCCAACTTGGTGGAGGAACTGACCCAGTATTATACAGACTCTGCAGGCATTTGTCATGGGAAGTTTTGCTGTTACAAGTCAATGTTATGTTGAGTGAGTGGCCACACCATCGTTTAAATCTGACAGCATTAGCTAACAAATGTAAAGCGTGCATTGCAGCTGCAAATTCTGGTGACAGTATTATTCCGCGACCTCAAGTAGTAGAAGCTTGTTGGAGCTGCCTAGTAAATGCATGTGAGTGGGAAGGTGTCAGCTCTGTAACAGGACCTGGCGAACTTGCAGCGGCTTTATGCGCCGCTTGCATAGAGTTACAGAGAGGAAAAGCAACCAGAAAATTCCCCAGACCTTTGTGGGATATCGGTAAGTTCTATAACTCATTAGTTTATTTTGATGTCTACCATATTATTTGTCTTTCAATCTCATATGTCACAAAGATCTTTGTTAGAACCACTTTAACTTATCGTATTTTTTTTACAGTTTTATCTGTATACAGTAATGGATCAGTAGGCCCAGTTAAACGCAATGCAGCGGGATTGGCAACACATTCTCGTGACGCACCGAATGCTTCCGTTGAAGCTCGTAGCGCCTTCAACGCCTTTTTAGCTACTCTTCGAGAGCCACTAGCTGTCAGCGTCATGCTTTCTCTTCTAGCTCGAATACATAATTTACTTATCGACGACAACAGTTTGGAACTCGTCGTCGAATACACAAACTTATGGCCGTCGAACATATCGAATATGAACAACTACAACGTTAAATATGTTATCGAATCTCTTACTGACATGCTGGAAAGAAGTCTGAAGCTTTATCCTTACAACACCTCATGGTATGTTATAGTATTATAATATCGGTTCTTTTATCTATATATATTTTGTTCGTAGTTACTAAGATGTCAGTGTCTATTAGTCTTGTATAAATTATATAGTTTTAAATTGAATTTAAATCTGTCTCTATCAACACGCCCCATACCTTGCACTTTAGGCAGAGAACTGAGTGCCACAAAACAGGGCTTTACAAATGTCTTTTCTTGCCTTGACCATAATTTCTCTTTTTATTCACTATTCCATTAAAATACACTTTTGTTGCATTCAGGCTTCGGCTATACGGCGATGTAGAAATGTGTGGTGGGCGTTGGGGGGCGGCTTTACGCCGTTACCTTTGCGCTTTAGCAGCGGGCTCCTGGCTTTTTGCCAAGCGCGCGCCAGACGAAGCCGGCATTGCCAGGCGTGCGGCCCGATGCTGCCAAGCATTGGCCGCGCCTACACAAGCGGCAGCACTGTGCCAGCTGCCAGACGAGCCTGACTACACTACGGCCTTCAAATGCCTCGCCGAGAAGGTTAATTGTCTTAACAAAATCATTTATAAGTTTATTAGTTGTCATAAAATTGAAATTTTTCTCTACATTTAAATAAATGTTTATTATAATTTTTCATATATAAATAGTGTAAGAGTATCTCGGTTGTAGTGGATAAGCGCCGCGGTCCACGAACGTTTTTGTTAAAGTAACTTTTGCAAGGGTCGGTCACGGGATGGGTGACCAAATACTTATCTCGAGCTAATCATGTTTAGCTGTTGGTCCCAGCAGCGTTTGCCGTCGTTAATACCCTCCAGTCCGCATTGGGCCAGCATGGGTGGTTATAGGCCATTCTACCTAACCATCCTTAAGGAAGGCCTAAGCCCTGCAGTGGGGACTAAAGGAGCTGATTATGATGAAATCCATTTCCCACCCTAAACATTATTAAATATTGCGGTTGTAAATATATATGTGTTTTTTCTCCAGGCAAGCAACATATCAGATGCAATGGATGCGTACTACGGTTGCCTGTGGGACGGTACGCTGTTAGAAGTGAGCGTTGCTTTACATGCTCGCAGGGGTGAGGGGGGCAGACGCTCGCGCGCAGTCAAAGCGGCCGGTGCATTAGAACTCAATGCTAACAACAGCGAAGATATACAAAGGGAAGCAGCAGCTATTAGAAGGGCTAGACTCCTTAGAGCTCTAACTAATCAATATGTTGCATAATGCCGTACAGTACAACTGAGCTAATAAAACGCACAAGTTATTAAAGAAAATCTATTCTGCACAACTCAACAACTGAAATGTATAATACTTACACATTGGAGATCGGAATGGTAGCGATTTTATAATTAAGGAAAATCAGTGATATTAATAATAAATTATATCAAACGTAACTCGTGTTTTTCTGAAAACTATATTTCGGTGCCCAATTTTATCAGCAGCAAGTAAACTTTCCTGATGATAAAATCATAACATTCTATCTTAATTATGTCTAAAAGTATTTTACTTAGCCATTTATCGCCACTATGCCCCTAACTCATAAATAACGGATTCAAATAATCTGAAAAATTTTTGGAATTCATGAACACAGTTCTGGCTGTGGCGATGCGGGACTGACGTCAGCCCAGCAGCGCATAGTCTCGTTTATCTCTGAAACTACATAACTGAGCTATTTGTCCCTATTTCGTTACGCACTAATTAATAAGGGTCTAGGTTGACCTAGAATTCATTTAAAAATCTAAGAGTGTGGCACGTAGGTCAAGGTAGTAGAACTTGACCTACGTGACAACCCACCATAGTACGACGTCTTATTACTTAACAAATCCAGCTAAGCCCAAAGCTAAAATTCGTAGATGGTGCAGTTCTTATAATTGATATATTTTGAGAGAGACCGTTAAAGGCACTGTTCTTGTCACATTGATATCTTGCTTATCAACTCCATGCGTCTGTTTTGTTGATAATATGACGACATGAATATATCGGATTGTGTTGGGCTGGCATTAAATAGTTTATGTTTTTAGCTGTTATAATAAAAGTTGTAACATTTTTTTATATCTAATTTAATACCTTATGTATTTAAGCAAATTTTTGTAGTAGATTTTCTCTACTTTTTTTAAGTTTTCAAAGCGTGACTTAAAATTTGTTTTGTTAAACATGTATAAGTTAAAATGGTTCATATTTTTCGAAGATATAACAGAATCCTGTATTTTCACTTGTAGGACACAAGCCTATTGTCTTCTAAATTTTAAGTTGATTATAAAACACTAATGATCGTAATCATTATTTTGTTTGATTCGTTGTGAATTACTGTTATATCAAAAAGTGACGCCGTTTTGTTTATATCTAAATATCATAAGTGATTTAAAACTTCCATAAATTTACAAAGGAACTTACAAAACCAAAGAAAAATTGATGACATTATTTTAAGCATAATAGTTTAATCATAGGATTTTTGTTTTATCCCGATTTGCCATTAATTCCACAGAATCTGTGTTCAGTACACTCAGTTCTATTTCCTATATGTGCCAATGTAACTATTACAGTTGGTGCAGTAGTGATCCGAATTCTGTGCAGACTCGCACATAAACGGTATACAGCAACAACGACTGAAACAATAAATTAATGATATTTAATATTTTGCTTTCCTATCAGGTCATATCATGGAATAGAGTGATATTCACATTATTATTCTTTAACTTTATATATTTTAGAAGTGAGTGGTAATTGACCTTTATATTAACTTTATATATTTTAGATATACAGAAGCAGGGTTACCACTTTTTGGAAAACTAAATTCGGGACAATTATTGGTCATCGGCCCTGCGATTCTGTATAAATTCGAACCTCAAAAGCGGCATTCGCTCAACCTTGAACTGAAAATAACGTTTCGTGATATAACTGGAGTGAGTTTCGAAATGACATAGGGATAGAATATCTAAGAGACGTAGGTATGAATCGATCAATCTTGTTTTGTACATTTATACAAAAATGGAAAGAAATGAATTTTTACACTAAATGCCGTGAATTCGAATTCGTGTTCGGATTTTTACAGAATCGCTCCGCAGATGTAATCGAACTTCAGTCCAATATTAATTATTATTATTAAGTCTGCGGGAAAAATAAATAAGACTACTTTTTTTATACTACTTGTTTTTAATTTAATTAAAGTAACAAATAGTTATAAGCAGGGCTGGGCAAAATACATGATTTGCGTTAATTGAAATACAAATTACAAAATACTTTATCGCAAGTAATTAAAATACGAAATACTTAATATATTTAAGTGAGGTATTTGAAATATAAAATACAAAATACTGTATTCAAGCTATTTTTAATTGAAATACAAATTACAAAATACATAATAAGAAATCGTGAATGAGTTATGTTTTTTTATGAATTCACAATGCTATGTTTAGTATTTGAAAATTCCTAAAAGTATTAGAAAAACTTTGACACCCTTTCACATACATCGGTCGCAGATCCTGCTGGTGTATATGTGAAAGGGTGTTGAATTTTTTCTTATACTTTTAGGAACTTTCAAAACCAGAGTTCCCTTTCATAAAAACTAGATTTATGAATGTATTGTCTGACAAACATCCTCTTGCTGGAAAGTGAATAAAACCAGCTAAGGAAAATAATCTTTCTACAATTCCCGATGAGCACAAACTTGTGTTGAATTGTATAAATTCATTTTTTATATTTGGACAGCACTCAAGAATTGAAAGCTCTCTGCTATTATCATTAAGGAAGCTGACCAACTCCATTTTAGATGTCTGTGGTTGATCACTGTCTCTGCTGTCAAAAACAATAAAATCATCATCTTCTTTACTAGTGGTGCTACTCCTGCTGCTTGCAGGCATTATTTCATGATTTTTGTAACTTGTCTTTAACTTTTTATATAAAATAGTGCAGTGTTGCCAACTCGAATGTCTCTAATTTTTGTAACTTGTCTGCAAGATTTTGAATTCTTTGCCTGTCATCTGTTGTCAAAATCAGCGGTTATATCTCAGAATTAATTTGGTTCACTCCATCGCTACCGTTATCCGGCATCGTAGACGACGTACATGGAGAGGGATTTTGATCATTCATCGCGAAAAACTTTAATGATATTTTATTTAGTATTCTACACAGAACATGAAAAGAAGCTTTATTTATTCCGTTACGAACGAGTTACGATACGTTAGGACTTGACTATACTTTGACATTGACAAGTCTTCTGTCATAGCGGACAGGTGCAGTGTTGCCAACTCTAATATCCGCATTACAATCATTACACTCTCGCGCCTCACACTTACACTCACGATCGCTTAATGAAGATAAAATGTATTTAAATGTTTAAATGTATTTTGAAGCCTAAAGTATTTGAAATACTAATTACAAAATACCTCTGCGTCAGATATTTGAAATACAAATTATAAATTACATTTTAAGGAAGTAATTGAAATAGAAATACCAAATACGTATTTGTATTTTAATTACGTATTTCAATTACAAGTAATTTAAATACTGCCCAACCCTGGTTATAAGGCCTGCCTAATGAAAAGCAGTCACTTCAGCAATTACTATGGGCCATATGTAATTATAGCATGGGTAGTTTTTAAACTATTTTTTATAATCAAATAATGCTTTTAGTTATTATAATATTTTTCGTCGAATTTTATTAAAGCTCAGGGCAAAATCAACGAGAAATCGATTCGCGAGATAACGTAATTTAATTCGGGACTGTCCCGAAAAATTTGAGACGAATGGCAGACCATTTTAATGACAAAACAAAAAAGATTTGATGGTTTGTATGCATTGAATCTGCTCCGAAACACTGGAGCAATTTTAAAAATTCTTTCACCTACGGGAAGTTATAGATAAATGAAGTATTTCTTCACGTCACAGTTGGTTCCAATTCTCTAAACGTCGCAGTTTAAGATCATCGCCATCTCTGAGGTACCATTAACCTAATTATCTAATTTTATAACCTATCGCAATCCCTTTCTAGGAGTAGGGCGGCCGAGCCTGTAAAACCGCCTCTGCGCCTTGCAATAATATTATGACAGTAACCTTTACTAGAGTAGACATTACATCATAAAATTTTAAGAAAATTCAACCTCAGCAATAATTATAATACATAACACAGAAACTTATCAAAACTGGTACGCAACTTTTTTGGTCGATCGTACCTTCATTATTCAGATTTCCACAACACAACAGCTTTAGTTACTAGTTACCTTCTATAAGCAGTATACTTAGATAGTAATACATGGTTATAGGTTAAACTAAGTATACCTATACTTTTAACCTATTTATTTATTTATATATCATTACCATATTCGCCCCCAAACTCCAGCCGCGATATAAGTGTTCGCATTATGGGTGTACTTCACCGTGGTGTTTATATGAGCCTTGCATAGTGGACAGGTTGCTTCTGTTGGACCAGGCCCCAATAATACTGGACCCTAGAACCACAAATAATTTATAATAAAAACATACATCTCCCAATTTCGCCTACCTCTCTAATGGCTCCCTATTCGGCAATTCTCTGTGTTGTTCAATCCAAAATGTCGACCCCATACCTTTTCAAAACCATACAAAATTCTACAGCCAATTGTTTACGTTACACGCGAGTCGATTGTGGAATTCTTTGCCCGAAGGTATGAGACGTTCTTTTAAATCTAAGATAAATACACATTTTCTATCTGGTAGGCATAACTTTTAAAATCTGAATATTTTTTTCTTGCCTTTCTCCTTATAGCTGGCGGTATGGTTTGTTCATGTTTACCTTGTACATTGTTACCCATATATTATATATTTCTTTTGTTATTTTTATATAGGTAAGTACATATTATATATTTAAGTTGATATTTTCCTGTTTTTGCACGACCCACAATCACCTACCACCACAATTAATCAAAAGGTTGACTAGAAATAATTGCTATTCAGCGATATGGCCGCCGATTGCATAACTCTAGTTAATTTTATTCTTGTACCTTTGTGGAATAAAGTGACCAAATAAAAAAAATAATACGTGCTTGAAAATTAAGTTGACTGTGAAGCATTTGGATGATATTTGAAATTGAATTTTTATATTTGGATATTTAAAGTTAAGCGCATCTCAAACTGTACTTAAACAATTTTTCGTTTCTAACTTTAGTTTTTTAGTGATCAGTTGATAGCAATTTGATAAAAAGTAGGACTTTTTGCCTTATGAAAAGTGAAACACTTAAGTTGTTGAGAATAATCAGTTGACATCACTGACATATTATACTTTTCTCAATTCACAAACCAATCGTATATCACTTACATAAAAAAAATTACATAAACCTTATTTTTTTCTTCATTTCTACGCATTTACTTATAACGGAATTCAACAAATAGAAAATATCTTGACCACTCTTAAGAAA